AGGGGCACCGCAACCGCTACATTAAGAACTCGCTGTTTACTTTGTCAGAGATTTAGCATGAAGGTAAATCCTGAAACTTGCGCGCGTGTAACTGATCACAGTTAAAACACACTGCTGGATTCGAACTGGTCTTCCCTCATCAACTATTCTGCACAAGTATCCTGACTGAATGTATATGCAATACCGATAGTCACGTGTTAGCTGTCGTAGTAACCTTTACAAAGACTCGTGTTTTGAAAGTCCGAATATTTATTAACCGAGGTGAGCATTCAGAAGCAAAAGTTCAAAGACATGGGGGCTTTTTTATAAACCACAAATCATTGTGAATGTTGACCAGAATGTTTGCTCTAAATTTGTTTTGACTTAAATGTGATATGAACTGTAACACCAGAGGGTAGCGTGCCTCACTGTCCGTCAGAGAAAACATGACTTATAGTTTAACTTTGGTATTTTTGTGTAATTTTTCGAAGGAGATAGATTAAGTCGTCAGCATTCGATGCACGATGCAACTGTGCAGATGAAAATGTACAATTAGTAAATAAATACTGCCGTTCGCATAATAAATGGTGTAGGTCACTTTATTGGTAAATGTTACTCGTTTTGCTTTCACTTGAAAGTAACGCACAAAAATGTCTCAACTAAACAACCGAACTGAACAGTTCAGTGCACAAAGTACTCATGAGTCAGATCCCATAAAACTGACTAACTCTATCTGATCTAAGCCAGGCAGCATGTGATCATGAACGCATGTGTAAAAGCAAACAGCTGAATTTCGTTAAAAGAGAAAATTGGTGGACTGGAGACTGGCACCTTTATCAAAGATGTAAATTACTTAATCCAGGACGCTATGCGCAGAAAACGAGGATGCCTAATCATACCGAAGTGAGTAGGTCACATGCCATCATGTAACTCTCGCTGCTCTGCTTGGGTGGCTTAGCAGGAAGCACAAGTAGCAGTTTGAATGTCACCGGCCTAAAACGGTTTTTTTTATTCCCGCATTTGCATATTCTCCGCTATATTAGTGGCCTAGCACTGAGTCGTTGTCATGGAGAGGTCCGTGTTCAGTGTTCCGCGTTTCCGATCAGTTGTCTTCATCGGCATGCTCGCATCTCGTTTACACTCTGCATTACGGAAAACGGCAGTGCGCTTGGTCTTAGAGCACAAAAAGGTATCTGCACGAGGAGTTTGTCGGCCTCAGGGAGTTCAGCCGTTTCTATTGGCGGTGCCATTATTCGTCCTGCAAACCGACTACCTGGATCTACAACAAAGTACTGTTTTATGGATATAAGAATACCATCGTGCTTCATTGTGTCTGTTTCATTCCTCCCCCTGCCTGATAATACTTAATATTTTTCATAAAAAGTGTTGTCTTTCTGATTTACTTCCACATGTTCCGCCAAACATATGCTACGGATCGTTTTATGATTCGTTTAATTAAACTGTTAAAGTCAAGAATTACTTCGGCAGACCATGTCGACCACGTCTGCTGTGTGTGGCAAGTTCCGATTTAATAAACAATTGTTCTTTTATTCAGCGACGATGATGTCATTTCAGTCACTAGTGAATTAACCTCTGAAAGTCTACGAAGTTTGTATTTGTGCGTGCCATGATTGAAGCTGAAAAGCAGTTGCGCGTTCTGTTTTTATTAACATGAACCCGGTGATCTTCGCTAAATTACAGTCGTCGCACGCACTCAGTAGAACGGAATACGTTAACCGCGTGAGTCTACAACAGTTTGAACGTTGAGTTCGACGATGTTTAACGTGTGCTTCACATTATGGCGGGCACAATGGAGGTGACTTGCGTATGTGATAGTGGACTTGCAAAGAGGCTAGTGTACCCTCTAGTCTCTCACCAACCTGGTGCCCATGTCAAGACATAGCCAAGAAGACCGAATACTGGGTCCGGTAAAGACGGCCTGCGCGGAGTGTTCGTGCGCCTAGACTCGACGCCACATTCCCCCTTTTTATGCGTGTACAGTCTAGTGACATGTGCCAGTCCCCGATCTGGCCACCGTTTTGATCCCATGGGACTGCCAGTGAGCTGCTGAAGAGGATATAATGGTGCCATTTCACTGTCTGAAAGACATCGTTGAAATGATGGAGGTGTGCTCAGCGATCGTTTTGAGATAATTCACCGGTTAGATTGTGCCTTGCGGGCTCTCTCTTAAGCCCAACCATCAGCCGCGCGGCGGCGCATGTTGTAGGCAGAATGTTATTACCAAGAAAGACAAGGGTGACTGGAATGGCCATTTCCAGCTTATTAGTCGAACTCGAACTCGCGACCTGTTATCCAACGTCGCAAACCTCGTCAGTATCTATGGTCAAATGTGTCACAAGTGAAGTGTCAAACATTTTGATAACTACTGCCGTTTTAAATTACCGGGCATATCTTCAGTAACGTAGCTGCTAAATCTGCTATCATTTTACGATGGGCTGCTGTAAACTTCTAAGCAAAAGGACATCAACTGCAATGTAAAACAATTGGCATAAATTAAGGTAAACGTCGACCATTGACCAGCCAGGTCAGTAAACAATATATCCTGCTAACAAATCCTGGAAAAAGTATCGATTTAATTAATCATTTCGAATGAACACTCGATTTCTTCGCATCCTCGCCTGTAAATAAAACAAGCCTGTCCCGGAATAAATGGTAAATGCAGTCAGTGAACGACCTCGGAAAATTTTTCCCAAAATTCGGAAATGCGGATTCGATTAGGAAGGATTGCTTATGTGGAGTCTTAGTATTCAAAGGGTAGTTTTACGAGCATACGTCTGCTTTTGATAAATTCTCTTCAGGCCCGCAGATTTATATGGCTATTGAAGCACGGAATTGAAAGACACGAGCAAGTAGATAATTAAGCTGTAGCTCGGGTTCGCAGAGGGGAGGGGAGGGGAAGGGGAGATTGAAACACCACAATTCCAGTCATCGCCAGGTGGAAGGTGGGTCTTAGCAAAGGTGGCTGTCTTGACTGCTTTGACCCATAACAACTGTGGCACATGTGTAAAGTACTTCCATGTATCCGCGTAGCCCGACTACAGTCGCCTCTGCCGTAGCCCACAAGCGCTGTCTAAGCAGTTTTGGATAGCTTAATGGAACCTTGTAAATAACTCTGAAGGCCTCTCTGGCGTCTACACGGTGGTCTGTGTCTACCATGTGCGCGAGGATCGAGCTGACGATTTTCTTTATTTGACCCTTTCCTAACCATGCTGGAAGATGTTCTTTTATTCTTATGGACAATCGGCGGTTCGTGCGACCAATATACTCTGCCCTACAGAAGCAGGTAAAGGAGTAAATACACACAGAGGTGGTCTGAACTAGTAGTTCGTCCTTGCTCTCACCGTAGAGGATGGAATTAGTGGAGAAAGGTACACGGGTATCAGCTGCTGGAAGGGTCTGTGGTACAGCTTGAGTGAGGCGTCCTCTTGAATGATCACATGATGCATCCTCTTGAAATGGAAACTTGATGAAGAGCCTTTTTTCCTGCCGTCGGTATCGGCCAAGTTCTTAGCAATAAATCGATCAAGATACCCGTTCTGGCGAAAAAGGCCTTCGATGATCTTCAGCTCTTTCTCAACAACACTATATCAGATCAGCAGTTTGTTCTCACTCGTTTGTCAAACAGCAGACTAAATTACGTTTAAGGTTTCGTTGCACGAAACTCCCAAAATGAGTGTAATGTCCGGACCACGTTATCTTACGATAGACGCTACATCGAAAGCTGCCGTCCGGCGTTATACTCAGAAACACAAAGAGAAAGTGGAGTGTACCGGACTGTTTTCCTTCCAGAGTAAATTGTTGTATATATTTTGGCAGATTTTGAATAATTCAGATTGACTCAACCGTGAAAAACTAGGCGCCTCGGTGGGACTCGAACCCACGCAGTACAGCCAGCGCTCAAACCACCTTAGCTAAGAGGCCCCGCCGGACGACTCGAGTTTAATCATATTTGGGTCAAGTTTATCTGCCCAACCTACTGCAACGTCTGGAATCCACCAAACCCGATAGAGTGAGTTGACTGCTCAAGCAGGATTTCTTATGTAATTCACCTAGAATCCACCAGATGGCTACCAGGCTGACGTAATTCTTATTGAAGGGTGTGCCTGATTTATGTCGTAAAGTACAGTTCAGATGTTACATTGTTTCGGTGCTACTGAGAATATATCATCCAAATACTGCATAGTATCTTAAACCGTTGATCTGGTGACGCAGTTGGAAAGCTTCTAACTTTCTCACGAATATATTCGCCAAAAGCGGGCCAAGGGGCGAGCCTCCCATAGCTACTCCGTCTATCTGTGATTGCGGTCGAATAGGAAGTGCACGCTCAAGGTGCACTTCAGTAACAGTTGCTCGAGGGCATTCACTGGCATTCAACCTATATCCTCTTGGTTTCCGGAATCAACGAAATCACAACGGTGTGTAGCTGACCATTTCCGTGAACGTTGAGTTCGTAAAAAGGAATGAGACGACATCTAACGAAAAAATGACCATTTCGTTCACATCGAAGTACTTCAGGTCGTTATTGAATTCAAAAGTATCTCCACAGCTATGTGGCGCTAGTTGATACTGCAGAGGCTTAAGTTTCACCGCCAGCCATTTCGCTATTGCATGGTACGGCGAGTTCCTTATATGGTGGATTGGACGAACCGATGCGCCATCTTTGTGCGCCATCATCGGCAAACCACATAATCGAGGTATATGCGTACCGAGGGGTCGGAGGCGGTCTACGCGGTGTTCGCTTATGCAACCACCATCCGCCAGAAGTCTCTTCAAGCAGTCAGTCAGTCAGTTGTGCTTTAATCTCATCTCTTCGGTCCTTCACCCACCTTCTGTCTTTCCTCTTTCTTTTCCTCATCCGACAGAATTGACTGTATTTTCCTAATATAGTCCTCTACCCTGCCCATCAAAACAACGCCAGTTGCCTTATCTGACCTAGTTATCAGAACGATTTTCTTCTGCCGCCGCAGTTCTTTTAAACTCTCAATGTGTGCGTCACTTCGTCAGCAGCACAGCAAGCCGCCCCGATATTTCTGACGACTATTCAGGTATTGATATGAGCAATTGATAATTAAGCTGTACTTCGCGTTTAGCGATGGGGGGGAGGGGCAGAGTGAAAGAAAAGAATTGCAGTCAGCGTCAGGGAGAAGGTGGGTGGTGGTGGTGGTGGTGGTGGTGGTGGTGGTGGTGGTGGCGGCGGCGGCGGCGGCGGCGGCGGCGGCGGCGGCGGCGGCGGCGGCGGCGGCAGCGGCGGCGGCGGCGGCGGCGGCGGCGGCGGCGGCGGCGGCGGCGGCGGCGGCGGCGGCGGCGGCGAAAGTAATTACATGCGGGCGGGCGGGTGGCTGGCTTAGTGGCTTTGACCCATGCCAACTCTGGGACGCGTAGGAAATTCGTCTGGGTGCATAGGACCGGTCCGCGCGTAGCCTGATTGCAGCCGCCTCTGCCGTAGCCAAGAAGCGCTGTCCAAGCAGTTTTTGGATAGTTTGATGGCACCTTGTAAATTACTCTGAAGGACTCTCTGGTCTGCGTCTACACGGTGGTCTCTGTCTACCACGTGAGCGGGCGAGCATTGAGCTGTTTTGACCCTTTCCTAGCCAGGCCTGCTGGGAGATGTTCTTGGATAAACGCCGGCTCTTGCCACCAACATATTCTGCCCCACAGGTGGAACAGGTGAAGGAGGAGTAAATACACATAGAGGTGGTCTGAGGTGGTAGTTTGTCTTTGCCCAATCCGAATAGTAGAATGGGACGCTACCTCCAATGCTGCCGGTAGGTAGGTCTTCTACTCAGAAGCACATCCGGAAGGGCAAGTGAACCGGTGTACTGTTCTTCCTCTTCATCCAGAGTGAATTTTATTGATGGATGCGCCTGATTTATGTCATCCAGTCGACGACTTGAGGTGATGTCACATTGTTTCGGTGCAATTGCCAATATATTATCCACGTACCACCGCCCATAGTATCTTAAACGGTTGATCTGGTGACGTAGTTGGAAAGCTTCTAACAACTTTCCCATGAATATATTCGCCAAAGCTGGCTAAGATGTGGACCTATAGCTTCGCCGTCCATCTGCCTATATAGATTGTTGTCGAATAGGAACTGCAAGTTCAATTTGCAATAATAACTATCACGCGACTTATTCCTTTAATATTTTGGACTTTCCAGGTTGTCGGCTTTTGAACGCATTTCCTTTTCACCCAGTGCAGAAACAGCTCTCTGTAACGTAGCATGAATTTTTTCAGATAGATTTTCCATGGGCTTATACATTCGAATATACTTTATAAAAACGTACGCAAAATATTCTTTCTTCCACTTATTTTGTAGAAATTCACAATTTGTTTCTTACTATGGCCAAAGAGAGGGTAAACTTTGGTTTTACAAAAGTTTCCAGTTATAAGGTTTCCGCATATTATCTTACAGAGCAGACCTGTCGCCAACCCGCGACAGCGTCAGAAATGCTAAAAACCTAAAAATAATCCAGATAAATGACATTATAATGAAATAACTAGAATTAGGCCATAAAGCTCTTTTCAGAACTTGAATTATTTTATGCCAGTTATGCCGCCGACGATGTGCCTCATTTCAATCATGGGAAATATAAGCATATTTGAAGTAGCATAACGGATGAAATATGATGTCCTTCATGCAACTAATTTATTTGGGGGATCTTCAAACGTTGCATATTGTGTTAGTTATCCTTCCACGCCCCAGAAACTGTTACTTGCCTATGAAGAATACGTTTCTAATTCAATCTAACGACTTTGAATCGTAAAGGTTTGGAGGAAAACAACGGTACCCTATATTGGGGGTGCTCTATGGTAATATCTGTACCAGACCACATTCGCACGTTATCGCATTTGTCTCAGCCGCGAGAAAAGTAATCAAGGCAAAATAAATTCGCCAAAATATAATTTTCTTACATGATAAATGTTATTTTTTAGAAACCAGAAGGGACTAAGCATATTATTTTTAAAGAAGACGACTTTAATTATCTTTTCTCAATTTCACCTTTGCGAAGCATTGCAAATTTATGTAACCGAGCAGTTTATTTTGCTTTACCTTGCCAAACTATTCAAATATTCCACGAGTAAGGGCGCGGATGTACGCCAAGTTTTTAGCATTGAGCACGTAACATGATGGTTTTAGAGCAATTTATTTTCCCCACTGCGTGATATAAAAATCAGCAGCGCTACGCTGTTTAGCGGCTTCTCGGCGTGAGACTCTTTGACGGCATTTACTCACGTGAACCGCGTATAAGAAATATTTTGTGAAATCTCATTATCCTGGTTACCTGCACGCCGTGCAATTTATGGACGGAAATCCTTCGTCGAAATAAATTAGCCTCAGTCCAAATAAGTAAACATTTGGCAATTGTCATCTAGTCGCATTTTACTTTTATGACAAAAGTTTATAGAGCGTTTCTGTCCTTATACAGGTTTTATTTACAGAGAGACATTTCGTATTTTAACATTTGGAGTCTACAAATTTGACACAAATTCTCGCGCTTTAGGCAATTGGGCCTACTTTAAGAAAATCAACACTTTTAGCAGTATTTTACCACTTTAACTAGTGTTTGTCTGTCATTGTAAACTTAACCTTATTCATTATTCGCTGGAGATTCAGACGTTATATTTTTGCAACAGTCTCTGACATTTTGCACTTTTTATTTAAATTTTACTCAATTCCTCATTCGCGCCATGTGCTGCGTACATGTGCATTATATTCGCTTCTCGATAAGCTTAATCATTGTCTGTTTTCTTCAGCGATCGGACATAACTTGAAGTTAGCTATAAAAAACGCCAAATGATTTACTTGAGTTGGTCTAATAGATCATGACACACGGCTACGAAAAGTTGCAGCACCCGATTTATTGCAGATAAGGTTTTTTTATGAATATATTGTGTCATACCCATGCACCCTGGACAACTTCTAAGGGCATTTAGTCCCTGACATCACTACTTAAATAGGCTTCTTCGTCTTTGGATCCGGAATGTTTAAGCCGATTTTATTTCAAGACGAATTTGTTGCTGTTGGCCGGATAGGGACTGACGTTTACGCCGAATTCGCAGCGAGCATGCGCGCTTTGGTTTCACTACATCTACATAAACCGAAACCGGATTAGCCTGTCTAGTTCAAACGCACACAAAAAAGGAGCCGGTATCATGATGTGGCATTTAGCCTGTGGTCTGGCCACGCCAGTTGTTACTGCCGTATCTAACACCAATTCGTGGTTCCCCAGAGAAATGCATTGACTTCACTTTTTATTCTGTCAGATGAGGGCAAACATATCGCTCGCGTTAGGGGCATGTTCGAAATGCATGCTGACAAGTTGTCACATGGTAGACAATATGTCTGCCATAAATGCATCCATTGCATTTGTCGTTACGGACATCGATAACTCTCTGTGTGATCAGGTACGTGCGATGATCGACACACACATTAGGGCTTCATAAAGTACAGTGAGTGAGCGATCTCGTGAACTGTTGGCTGAAATTCTGAAATGTGTTTTCAATTAGGAAGAATTACGTAGGCGCGGTTGCAAAACTGATGGTCTTACGGTATAACTAGGTCATATTTGAATGACCTCGCGCGCTGCGGTGCTGATGTGTTGGACCTGATCAGGGCGATCCGGCTGGCTCACTGCACCCGTTTATCTGATTTTGCAGAATCTGTGCAAGGTCATTACTACTGCCGAACATGGGGGTTGGTCGCGCGCCATTGACACTGACCTCTACGCCACGACACTCCCTGTGCCCACTCCCTCCCATCACCAACTGGTTGACAGACTGGGACAGACTGGGAGATAAAAGTTGTCCCCTACAGGAAATAAATCTTAAAGGCATATCGGCGCCTTCCTCACTAGAATAAATCTGACGCTTCCAACTGAGTGGATAACTGGGTAATTCCCAGTACTCATAGTCAGGCTGAAATATGGCCTTCACGGTGCTGTTAGTGGTGGGGGACTCAGCGGAGCGCTCTTACTTAGGCCTGATACCTGAGGAGTGAAAACTATTCGACACGAAAAGACGGGCTGTTTGGCTTTATCAGCTACTGTGCCCGAGGATACTACCCGTCGAGTGGACGGTGGATCGTGTGGGTGAAGGAGTTATTGCATGTGACATATTCAATGCCCAGGGTAGCCTAGACTGCGGAAACAACTAGTCCACTTTAAGAAGGAGACACGATCGCCGGGACAAGAGCTTTATTAGCCTGACGTTTCGGATTCCTACTCGAATCCATCATCAGAGACAAAAGAGCAGAAATGGGTGGTTATTGCACAAGGGACTGCGGTATTTATAGGATGCAGTAGCCATGCTACCGCATACCTATGAAGATTCACGGCTCCCCCTTCATCCGGGATCGTCGCACTTGGTGTGATCACTGCTTGATGGCCGACATTCGAGCCGATAATTGCTGCAATTTCATCACGTGCGTTGGATGTTGGCGTGATGATTGCTCGACCATCCGACGCACCGACCCCGGTGTTGGGAAAAGTGTTCACCTCTGCGCTCCCCGCATGGCTTGTTACTCCGCCTAGGCGAAATTTTAGCATGCAGTATGGAGTGGGAAGATCGTTGCACTTGTTGATGGACTGGGAACCAGTAAACCATGATTCCAGTAGGTCCCGGCTCACGCGGTTGTCGCCTCTTGCGAGAATTTCGGCCTCATCGAAATGGAATGTGTGGCCGCATCTCGTCGAATGAGCCGCAACTTGAGAGCTGGCGTTAGTTCTGCGCATCGCTGCCGCGTGTTCGGCCATTCTCGTTCGGAGCTGTATTCCGGTTTCTCCGACGTAGTTGCTTTGTCCGCAACTGCACCAGATCCGATGACCGACTCCAGACGTTTCTAGTCGTGGCAGTGGGTCTTTCGGTTTCATGATCAGACGCCTGATGGTTGCCTCCGGTCTGTGTGCAACTCCAACCCCAAGTGGTGCGAGAAGGCGGCCGACAGCCCGCCAAGATTTGGTGTCCGTGCGGTTAGGCCTTTCGTCCCTTTTGCGTATGCACCGGTCGACGAAGTTGCGCGGGTAGCCATTGGGTTTGAAGACCCGTCGGAGGTATTGTAGTTCGGCAATTTTGTCTTCCGACTCACTGCAGTGCGTTTCGACACGCCGATAGAGCGTCCTTAGACAACTGCGTTTGTGTGAAATTGCAGCAATTATCGGCTCGAATGTCGGCCATCAAGCAGTGATCACACCAAGTGCGACGATCCCGGATGAAGGGGGAGCCGTGAATCTTCATAGGTATGCGGTAGCATGGCTACTGCATCCTATAAATACCGCAGTCCCTTGTGCAATAACCACCCGTTTCTGCTCTTTTGTCTCTGATGATGGATTCGAGTAGGAATCCGAAACGTCAGGCTAATAGAGCTCTTGTCCCGGCGATCGTGTCTCCTTATTCAAGACTACCTCCTGGGACTCGTCTCTTCGCTTCTATTAACTAGTCCACTCTCCACAAAAGTAACTGCGTCAACGATGTTGTGAACGACCCCAGGTAATTCTCGGGATCCTATGGCTCGTGTCATACGCCAATATTTGTTTTGCGCGTTGGGCAGTAGGTCAGACAGTAAGCTTACGAAAAGCAAGAAAACGCAGACATTTTTCGCATTTCTGACGAAAGCTTTATCTCTCGCTTTCGTATGACAGTGAACTTAGCGTCTCAGTTACAAAGGAAACAAAAATCAAACTTTAATATATAGCGGAGTTTGAGCTCGTGGGAGGTAAGGGTTGTTGCCAGTGTACTGGCTGCGACGGCCTGCCAATGTTAGCCAAGATGAAACCCCGTATGATATGACTGACAGTCTACCGACAATTAAATGGGATCCTTCGCATTGTCTTTGACGCAACTGCTACGGAAACCTTCTTTAGCAGGGCCTCGAGTATCTCCATGCGTTTTTTCCAAACTTACTAAACTTCCGCACTGACGATACGGTGTTCTGTTAAGGCTTTTGTTGGGTTATCGATTGAAGTAAATAGTTGAGTTCCAGGAAGCAGTTCTAAAGTAGAGGATGCAATAGTTGGTACAGGGAGTTTACTGACCTGACGTTTTGGATTCCTTTATCTGTGGATGTTCCGACGCTCAGTTAGAGAGAATGCGCAACGTCAGGCCAATAAACCCCCTGTTCCGGCGATGGCATCCTCCCCTTCGGTACTCCGAACTTTTGAGCAATTTGGCGCGAGGATAACTTCCGGTGTTAGACCAAGGATCTTTGCTGTATTCGGCTCTGCCTTATATGAGCCTAGTAGATACACCCCTATAAAATCTACCTGAACGTGTCTAACTGGTTTTAGGCAGGGAGGGATGACGACAGAGACAAAAGGGACTGGGATGACTGAGACCAAACCGACGGAATAAAGAGCCTGCTGCCCAACGATACAGCATTACATTTAAACGTTCAGTGGCCAGAAATTCCTGGATTGAATCCTATGGTTATTCAAACATTAGGCTGGGTATGTCTGGCTGACTGATAAGTAAAAAATGACCATCCAACTCCTCCTTGCCTTTATCGAATCTTCTTACTGCATAAGCTACTGCCTGCTAGGGCCCAGGAGTGAATCCCAAAGTACAATGGGATGATCATATCCCGTAACCCTATTGGTGAGCCACCTTACCACGATAATTTTCTCTTTACTGGGGGTATCTTACACTAAACATCTTATCGCTATTGTTAGTCCGAAATTAAACATGTAAGTTCGGTATTTTTTGCAGTCATCGCAAGCCTCGTCAACCAGTAACATGCTTCCCTCCACGAATCAGCGAACGACACTCAATATTGAATGTTCTGTCCTATTTTGTGTTTTCCAGTCAGATCGATTAATCACTTAGATTTCTCCTATTTTCTAGCTGTATACAGGAGAGTGGACGCCATTTACATAGATTCCTTGGCAGCATATGAGTTGTTTGATTAAATCGATAAAACTTTGTGAGTGAAGTGTTGGATATCGGATAGTCGGTCAGTGCGCATTAACTGAGTTTGCCTCAACCTCATGAACATAGTGAGTGCAACTCACAGGTACTAGGATAAGTCACGTGAGTTTAATTGAAGTCTTGATTATTGAGTTGAACGAATATCCTGATGCCTACTATGAAGTCATCTGCTATTTCCCAATCTTGTATCGATTATTGATGGATGTTCAGCACAGACTGAGAAGGGAGTCAGGCGTTGGGGTTGGTTCTCGAGGCTGTGGGAGAGGCAGTGTAGAGGGCGAGTAACTAAAAACAGATAAACAGAATACCAGACGGTTGCGTAGATGACGTACTGCTGTGTCAGCATTTTACAAAATGTTTCTGTTTTCTTTTCGTTGTCTTATATTAGAAAAGGGTCCTTATTTTTTCGCCTCGGTCTCTGCGGTAAACATCAGAGATGGGTGCGCCCCGTTAAACTTTTGAACTAGCCCACTGATGTCGGTGGTATGAGTCGTCATGCAAAAGATATCGTCCACATATCGACCGTAGAATTTAAGGTCATTAATGGTATCTTTGATACTCCTTTGCTCGACCTTGCCCATGAAGACGTTTGCGAGAAACGGCCCAAGCGGTGAACCCATTGCCACACCGTCTATTTGCCTGTATAGCTGACCGTTGCAGAGGAATTGGACATTCTGTGTGCATCGCGTAAGTAGTTCTTTTAGCTCTCCACTGTCATGCCTATCGGGTAGTTTGTTTCCCTGATGAAGTCGACCAGGAAGTCTATTGTCTCCACATCGGGCACGTTGGTGAACAGTGATGATACATCTAACGAAGGCATCGTTTGTCCCTCCACGTTAATGTTTTTGATAGCTTCGATAAGCTCAAAGGTGTCTTTAAAACTTCGCGGACACAGGCCACATTGAAGCGGTTTTAGCTTTTCTACCAGCCATTTTGCTATTGCGTGATAGGGGGAATTTTTCATGTCCAAGAGTGGACGTAGCAGTAGCCCGGGTTAGTGAATCGTGGGAAGATCATACATTGTGGGTATCGTCGTGCCCACAGGTTTTAGCCCTTCAAACTGCTTGTCAGACAGAAGTCCTTCCTTGTGGTGTTCTTTGAACACATTCGTTAACTGCCTCTCGATTGTTTCGGTTCGATCCCTGTCTTTCTCGGATTTTGAAAATTTTGCACGGTCCGATAAGATTTCTTCTAATTTCTCCACGTAATCCGCCTTATCCATCAGCACTATGCCTGAGCCTTTGTCGGGTCTGGCTAGTAAGTTATTTTCATTTTCACGAAGCTTCCTGAGACTATCGAGGTGGGCTCTTCTCAGGGGACATTTTTTCCTCGGAGCCTTTCTTAAATACTGTTCACAGAAGTTAACCAGAGTCGATTTAAGATAGTCAACTTTTCTAGGTTGGGAGGGTTTTAGATCTTTAGTTCGGCTAAAGTGACTCTCGAACTGGGTTTCGAGCTCAAGTTGCTTCTGCCTTCGCCGAGCAATGCAAAACTTAGGACCATGAGATAGCACTTCTATGAGAGTTTTGTCAAGGCGTACTGATGAATAGTTATGGACGTACCGTTCCGGATTGTTCGTAAGGGTGACCTGTGCTTTCATTGACTGGACACTTCGTAGAAGTTTAGTCCACTTGGCCTCGATTATCTTATTTCTGACGGTCTGCACATAGTCTTAAAAATTCATTCGCTCGAGACTTTCGAGATGGTCGAGGGTTGCTGTTTTCTGACATAGATTCCGTTGCAGTTCCTCAATTCCTGTACTAACTGTCTCCAAATGACTTTCTGCATGTCGTCTTTGTGTGATTGAGGTGGGTGAGATACGGCTTCTTCCTAAGGTTTTCCAGTAGTAACGCGGATATTCCCCACGATCAGTACTTCCTGATATGAATTTCCTCGTCACAGTTGCCCCCGCAAGTCTGGTGTTAATCTTCAGGAATCCATTGAGTTCCTTCAACACCGAGGGATCTTTGGACTGCCTCGGTTCTGCGAAAATTTCCATATTACGATTGAAAAGTCAATTGGCTAACATGTGTTCTCGGTAATTCCTCATCAGGCCTCTAAATTTACAAGGGAAATGATCAGTCTAATTGTCGACAGGGTATAAATGCGTCTCGGGGGTAGGGTTAATCGGACTCCATGTTCCCACGCCGCCCACATGACGGAGTCATCGTGTTGAGGACGATGGAGTTGGGGTGGGAGGAGTCGGAGTGGGAGGGGAGGAAGTAGAGGGTTTCCGGTTAGATTGTAGGCGCTGTGAGTGCGTGTGACTGCTCTCAGTGCGTCTATTTGCTTTTCGTTGTGTTATATTAGAAAACGGTCCCTATTTTTTCGTCCTCTGATACTTGCCGAGGTTTCACCTGCAGTGAGTTTTGCAATAAAGATCAGGAGTGCGTGTCAGAAACTTGCGGGCGCATTTCTGGCTCAGCTACTGACATCGGCCAAGCCAACCCAGCCATGTCCAATCAGCAGTCAGTATTTCGCTTACTCAGACGACCTCAAGTACTGATTGTGTCCCTAAAACGGACCACGCCGTAGATGCACTGGACCAGCACGGGGGTTAGGTCGGCATCCGGCAGGCGTTATTGGGAATGCACGGCCATAACCAATGCCAACATTCACGATGTATAAAATCCCGGTCAGTGTCCGCTGTGGACTAGGGGGTGTGGTGGTTCCCCTAGGTGCAGGTTTTTCTCCATGCCGGCCACGCACGTCCTCCCCTGCCTCCGGTCTTCTTGAATCTGTCTTAACACAAATCCCAGGGTGAGGAGGAGGAGAGCGTGCGGTAGATGATACGCAAGTCTGCTATTACCATAAAAAACCTCACGCGCAATTC